AACAAGCAACTCATGGGATTCCCGATCAACTTCGACCTATTATTATCCCACGTATTTTTACTGAAAAGTACCAACAAGTCAATTGCATGAAAAGATATTTTACAGACGGGTCCCGTCTCAATGGATCCACTGGCTTCGGTGTCTTCAATGAAAACTCTAGCGCCTTCCGCAAACTTCAGGAACCTTGTTCCGTTTTTGTTGCTGAGCTGGCAGCAATCAACTTCGCATTGGGGATGATTTCCAATATGCCCACAGACCATTACTTCATCTTCTCGGATAGTCTCAGTTCGATTGAGGCTATTCGGTCGATGAAACAAGGTAGGCACTCATCTTATTTCCTTTCAAAGGTAAGGGAGCAGATGTGTGTGCTGGTCGAAAGATCATATATGATTACCTTTGTATGGGTCCCCTCACATTGCTCAATCCCAGGCAATGAGAAGGCGGACTCTCTCGCAAAGGTGGGCGCGCAGGAAGGCGAATTGTATGACAGGCAAATTTCACACGATGAATTTTACCATTTAGTGCGTCAGAGTACCTTTTCGAGTTGGCAAACCGATTGGGACACTGGAAATCTTGGACGGTGGTTACATTCAATTATTCCTAATGTTTCTTCGAGAGCGTGGTTTAAAGGCTTGGGCTTAAGTCGTGACTTCATTCGCGTGATGAGTAGACTTATGTCCAACCACTACTCGCTAGATGCTCATCTCAATAGAATAAACCTCGTGGACAGCAACATCTGTCGGTGTGGAAACGGTTACGATGACATCGAACACGCAGTTTGGCAATGTACGGATAATGACGCCGCCAGAGAGCGACTTTTGAATACCCTCGAGGCCCAAGGAAGACAACCCTATGTTCCTATCAGAGACGTGTTGGCAACCCGTGATCTCTGCTATATGCAGTCCGTTTATGTTTTTCTTCAAATGTCTAGTATAAGAATTTAATTCCTTTTGTCTTTTGTCTCTCTTTATTAGTTTTTGTTTGTCTTGTCCCCCCGTCTCGATGAGTCTCATCGTCGCCCACTGGTCACCCACCATAGCCGGTCGAACTCCGGACGAAGCTAGAACAGCACTACCGTTCATACTGGCGACAACGCTCTGATGAGACAACGAAACCCTACCCCAAGCTCCTCCCCTGATCCTATCCTTCGAAAATGTACCCTTCTAACCTCGAGTAAGCCGCGAGTAATCGGCCCAACTCCTACTAGACATAGAATTAAGTGAATTTTGTTACACACAGTGAACAATGAATTATCGGCTCCGTAAAGCTAACGCGATTGAGCCTCCCAAATAAACGAACTAGATAAAAAAAAAAAAACCATTCAATCAATTCTGTGTAAACGAATTCTCACATGACCATAATTTGAAGAGCCCCTTTCTCATTCGAAGCTCATTGTCACTGTCAATTGAGTCACTCAGTATCATTTGATATACGACAGTGGAGTATGGAAGAAATCCAGGAAAATGGTTCCGAACAGACAAGTCGACCCGATGTCGGATCAATGTAAGGCTAATTTAAGGTCGATGTCGACCCAATGTCGTGTTAATGTCGGGTCAATTTTGGGTTTATGTCGGGTCAATGTCGGGTCAACATCGGGTTGGGGTTTGATAGAAGTCAGGTTGGTGTCGGGTTGGCTTAGCTTTTTCGCCGGAATGTCGACCAGAGCTCCGTTTGTGTGTAGGTTACACTCAATCGAATGATATATAGCGTTTCTCAAATGAGAATGATCCATGCCTTCGTCAAATGACTAAGCAACTGATATCGGAGGAGGTCCCCTTTGATAGCGAATAGCTACTTTTCTCATTTTCATCAAAAATGTTCAAATGATTTTGAGAATTTACAGCACTGCTTGAAGCTGCAGCTGCCGTGCCTGGAGCGCCGGACTTGTGTTTGTACTCGTGAAGTCTCTCGGGAGAAGCACTGTTAATCTGTTTCGTTTCCATCGGACTTGCCACTAGCAGTTTTGCGATCCACTCCGCCGCTAGCAGGGGGCTGTTGAGGGAGTCAACGACCCACTGTCCGATGGGGGAATCGAAGCCGAGGTAGAGGCTAGCATGGGGAAATTCTGTTCGTTGCGCATCGGTGGTAACAACTTCTGTTGTCTGTGGGGAATTGGTTTCGGTGGCGGCATGGTAGCCGGGATGACCGAGTTTGGTTCGAACCGAGGCCGTGCAGCTTGGTTCGAAGTTGTTTTGTTTTGATTCGCAATGGAAGCGATTTGGTTAGAGTGTGTGTTGGTTTGGTTCGGAGTATAGTCGGCTTGCAATGTTTTTTTGTGAAGGCATCTGCGTTCGACTTTTGTACGAGCAATTTTTAATTCTGCACGCAAGTAGCCCCGATTTGAATGTATTCACGGCAGTGTCGGCATCTTTGTAGCTGCCCGAAATACGATATATTCGTCACTTCACCGTCGATGGTGACCCACGACTCGATGTTACGATTCACTTTCATTTTCGCTATGCGGGCACCGGTCGAAATACCAGGGAAATCGATATCGGCTCCACATAGTTGCTCTCGTACTGATATGACGTCACCATACCTTCCGAGAAAATCGGTGATTTTTTGGTCCGACACCTCGGACAAACCTCCACTACTCCATCCTCCAGCGTGATCCTTAGCGGATATTTCTTTTATTTTTTTCCGTCGACGCTACTGTCGTGTTGGTTGTCATGTTCCTCGTTGCGCCAACTCTAGTTCGACGACTTTCACGAACGAAACACCGAGGGCTCTGCTGTTCTGTATACGTTGCACTTCACCTTGTTTCAGACCAAGAACGGTCGCACAGAATTAGTGGACTTTGGCAAGGTCCGGTTTCTTCGGCACATACGATAAAGCAATACGAAAAAACACAGTTAACACTAGAAATTAGTTCGTGTTCGACTTCCACGATCGATAGCATAAACGTGTCAGAAGTTGAGCGCTCACTACTAATTGCCTGAACCACGCGTAAAGATCAAATCGAAACATTGCACGTTGCGTGAAAGTGGAACTTAATAAAGGCCTAAGTACTCTTTCGTAGCTTTTAATTTTATGATTTGAAAGATCGTCGGTTGCAGTGGCTTGCTTACTGAGCAGAAGAACGCGGTCCCAGGGTCCTTTCATATTAAAATTGTATGGTAAGATCGCTTGTTTATCGTACATATTGTAAAAAAATTCGTTTGTCGTCGGTGCCGGGTTTGAATAGTTATAACAACTTGAGTAACGGTATAATATGATTTGAGGTGCTCGGTGGCCTTAGAGCAACCGTTTTTGCTTACTGAGCAAAACATCATGATTCTAATCTCAAGCCCATCCACATTCAAGATTCGTCAATCGTTTTATTTGTTAACATGACTACATGGTAATAACAGCAACTCGATGATTAAAAAAGAGCTCGTCTGCCTAGTGGCAAACGTTTTTTGCTTACTGAGCTGAAAACCGTGGGTTAAATCCTAAGCTCCTTCGCGTTATATGATCGTTAGGACATCAATTCAGCTTATCGTTTACCAAAACGAACCCTGCTGCAAACCCAACCCTATTAATCAATATCCCAGTGATTCCTCGTGGAAGTGCAGAGGTGTTATCGGCTTCCATCAAAGCGAGTGTCACGTCAACGCATTCCTACCCCTTCCTTTCTTGACCTGTGTTCGGGTGCGGCCGGCGCTGGTATTGCCTAGTTTGAGATTACCAGTTTTTACACATTGAGGATGATTGCTTGTCCCACGCGCATCGTCTATTGGTTCTCTGTGTAATTACAGCTGGTCTGGCAATAACAGAGTAGCAACCGTGGGCGGCCAATCATGCTCATGCTCTTTGGACGCGCCGTGTTGCTGTGAAAGCAATCGTAGCTTATTGAGTATGCATGTGTTCGAAGACTGTGCGTAGACATAGATGTGGTGTTTAACTTGTTCGCCAATAGGTTCATGCTATCACTTCTACTTTTCATCGCCGATTTGTATTCGGAACGCAAACCCTGCTGCAAGAACTGACTCCACTAAGTAGCGATAGACAACGTCGGGATCAAGCACCCAGGTTCTGCGCCGATAAAGGTATCGGTACCCTTCAACTTTGAAAGATTTAATATTTGTTATTTGTTACTAATTTACTACCACTATTCGCATAAAAGTCCTGTGGATTTCCCATCTACATGGGACTGTTATGCGAATAGCGGCAGTTTAGATATGTTGTAAGCAAAATTATAAACATGCGACGATTAGTTTTGAAAAGTAAATTTTGTATGCATCATTACTCCCAGCTCAGGCATGCCAGATTTCAGACACGGAACATCGTTTTTCCATTTCCTGGCATACCTGTGAACGTTCTACATTTTTTTTTCTGGTATAGTAAAAAATGAGTTAACCCAAACACGGAAGCACAGTGCACATATGAGTGAAAATAATAAACTTGCAACGCAAAGGAATCAGTAAAATGACAAATAAAAATGTTATAAATGCGGGATGCTATGTCAGATAACGTTTTAATCACGTGCCATACCGTGAACAACAACAACAGGTTGGGAACGAAAGTGAGATCTAAAAAAAAACGAGCACGAGACAACACGAAACGCAACATAGGGACACCGCAGCTGCATTTGTTTCGCTGCTGTTGTGCATGCGATGCACTTTCCAGCAATACTTACAGTTGTAGAAGTGCTCCATATCTGGTGGTTGATGTTTCAGTTCATAAATTTTCCCGCGTTATTCGAAAGGGATAACATTAGCAACACGCCCACGGAGGTAACGTAATTGATGATTTCCCAACCACCATAAAATACCACCCGAAAGTAAGGTTTGCCCGGTTTCGAATGCGACGGAAAGCAAAAGTGGGTGAGAGAAAAGGGAAAACGAGAAATAAGGTTTAAACGTTTTGCTACTGTTTGTTTGTTTTTGGGTGAGGAAAAACTGACCCGACGCCTAATAAACGTCTTTCCAACATGCAATCGTTTACCCTAACACCTCCTTCGCATAAGTAAACACTCTGTCTAGCACTTGTTTAAGCTTGAAAAGGGCGAATTGACTCACCTCGCTTCTTGGTTTCAATGTAGTACCCGAGGATGGGACCCTTTCCGGATGGCCCATTGATCCATGACATGTCGACGCTGGCCTGAGATTTGGACAGCTGTAGATCCCGCGGATACACCGGCGAACCATCCTGCGGTCCGGTCGTAACGTTACCACTCACTGCCGGACCGTAGTCGATTGTTTGGGCACGCACAGTAAAGGTGTAGGTTACCTCCTCTTCCAGATTCTGAATGATCAGGCTTGTGCCGGATACCTTCTGTTTGACTTGTTTGCTGAATTCTATGAATCAATAAAAAAAAAAGCTAGATTATACCCCACAAAACCATCCCAACCAAAGCACTTACTTTCGTTATCCTCGGTAGTCTCATAGGTTACAATGTACCCTAAGATTTCTCCGTTGCGCTTCTTCGGCGGATCCCAACTGACCTTCAAGCTGTTCATGGTGATGTCGGAAAAGGACAGAGCAATCGGAGGTCCCGGTAGACCCTGCAAGGTCTTAACCGTGATGGGAGTCGATCGAGGGCCATCACCCGCCGGATTGAACGCCAAGATCTGTATCCTGTATTCGGTGTACTTATCCAAGAAAACCAAACTGTGCGATGTGTACGATGCAGGAACAACCTCAATCTCCTCCTCATGCTTTCGGCCTTCTTCCAACTCTTGGGGTGAATCGGTAACTAAGTAGAAGATCTTGTACCCCAGGAGCTCTCCGTTTTGCATGCTCTGCTGTGGAGCTTTCCAGCGAAGGCGAACTTCGGTGGACGACACCGGAGCGCCCTCGATGCCACGGGGTTCTCCGGTGGGAACAGCTTCCCCAACGTAAACCGCCACCGGTGGCGTCGCTGTTCCCGAGCCTTGCGAGTTATACGGTTGAACGATGATTTCGTAGTTTCGGTCCTGGGTTAAATCTTTCAGTATGGCAGACTCCTGTTCGACTCCCAGGACGTCTAGCTTAGGAGTGCTTTGCAAGGTGGATGGAAAGTCGGAAACCGGTTGATACAAGATTCGATAGCCTCCGGTGGTAGAGTCCCCATTCCACATACTCTTTTTCAGTGGATTCCACTGAACTCGGACGCTGGTGGTTGTTATCGGGACCACCTTCAGCCCTGTAATGCCTCCCGATGGAGCTGCCGGCAGTGTTCGAACTTCGATGCTTTCCCTGCTGAAGGCCGATGGTCCGATGTCATTCGTTGCTTGGATGCGGAATTGATAGAGGGTGTGCGGCTTAAGACCTACGGCAGTGTACGAAGTGACGGCAGGATCGACCCGTTCAGGGATTACGGTCCAGGGACCTTCATTCTCTCGGAATTGTACGGTATAGTAGCGAAGTGGCGCAAACCCATCGCGTCCAGGTGTCCAACTGAAGGTTATCTGTTCGGCTTGAACTTGTGATCTGGAGATCGACGGTGCAGAAGGAGCTTGCGGAATCTCCCGGTTGTTGGTGGTGTAAACTAAAACAGCTGCAGTTTTACCCCATCCAAGACGTGTTTGCGAAGTTACACTGAACAGGTAATAACGTTCTGCTAGCAACTGCGTAGCACGGAATGTCCTATCCGATGGAGGAAACTCGCGACTAAAGTTCAAACTTTGAGAACCGTTTAGCAGGTAGGTCACCTTGTAAGCCAATATCTCCCCGTTGGGTTCCTCCGGTACATCCCAAATAATTCGCGCCATACTGAAGGAAACATCCGGGAAGGACACATTCGACGGAGCACCCGGAGTATCTTCGAATGTTTGAACTCTAACCGGAGGCGTACTCAACACTCCATCTCCAAGGCGAGTGTACGCCAGTACCTGGATGTCATACTGCACAAACTTCTTCAGCTCGGTCAAAGTCGTCGTAAATGTCGAATTATTCGGAATGGTCTTGTGTAGAATCTGCGTCCGTCCGGCAGATCCGTAGAACACTTTGTACCCTTCAATTTGACCGTTTCTATGTTCCTTGGGTACTTCGGTCCACTTAACGACGATCGTTGTCGACGAAGTCGCGTTTGCCTCCACTCCCAACGGGCCGAATGAAGGAACTGCCTCTCGCGTCCTTTCGAAAGCATGCGGGCTTTCGTTGGATTGTCCCACTTCGTTGACAGCACTCATGAAAATCTCGTACACGGACCACTCCTCCAAACCATCTAGAACGTGCGAATTGGCCGTTGGATCTTCAATGATCACACTAAACGGCGCGATATTGGCTTTTTCGTTGACATTCCGATAGGTGATGCTGTAACCTCGGGGATTTCCGAACCATTCAGTTTGTTGCAGCGGAATCCAGCGAACTCGTAGTTCGGTAGCACTCATGGCGCGAACCGTTACATTGAATGGTGGATGCATTGGTCGGGCCTGAATTGTTTGGAAGTCTTTGGTCGGTTCGGAAGGTTCCGAAGATCCTACCACGTTCCAGGCGATGATTCGGAGCCGGTACGGTGTGAACGGAGTAAGGCCGGTTACTGTGAGCGTAGATGCGTCAGGATCGTGGACTTCGTAGATCGTGAACCAGGTCAGGTTTCGTGCCGTTTGACCTTCCACGGTCCATTTGGTGATGGATGAGTTCCCATCGAATCCCGGAGTGAATTGAATCACAACCGAGAAGGCTTCTATGTTCGATAACGCTAGCTGATAGGGAGGATAAGGTAGAACCGGTTCAACACCGGACTGAATCGTTGCCGTCCTTGGTAAACCCTGCCCGACTGCGGTGGATGCCGTTACTTCGAACCAGTAGTGTGTAGTTGCCATCAGGTTGACGATTTTCAAAGAATTGGAGTCCGCACTCAAGTTGAACATTTTGAGCGTATCTGGTTGATCCTTGATTTGGTACTTGACCTGGTACCCAGTAAGGATTCCGTTGATTTGCTTCGGTGGTGTCCACATGACTGTGACTTCGCGATCGGATACGTCGTCAAACTGCAAAGAACTAACTTCATCTGGAACGTCCTCTTTGGTTTTCACTTCCACCGGGAAACTTCGTTCTCCATCGCCGGGATCCGTGAAACACAGAACTGTAACGTTGTAGTTGGTAAATTTATCCAATCCGGTCATGACCGTATCCTGCTCTGCCAGTGGGTCCAGCAAACTCGGCGGAACCGTAATCGCCTTCGCTTCCGTTTCGTGTTCTTCACCATCGATAATTTCGTACCTCCAGGCTTGAATCTTATACCCCTGGTTGATACCGTTGATCTGCTGTGGATTAGGAGGTTTCCACCAAACCCGTATCGCTGTGGAGTTCACTGGGCTGACGTGCACGTTTGTCGGCGGAGCTTCCGGTACGCCTTCCCTCGTTTTGATCTTCGCCCCATCGGTGTAAATGCCAACGCCCATGTTGTTGTAAGCGGCAATCTGAACAATGTAGTCCTTCCAGGTGATCAATTCTTGGATCAGGTAGTTTCGCTGCGCTTCGTTGGTAATGTTGCGATAGTTCCACGGGCTAGCGTTGTACCCAAACAGGCGATAGCGGATGATGTAGCCTAGAATCTGGCCATTCCGGTGTTCCTCCATCGGAGGCTGCCATTGGGTTATGATTTCCGATGAGGATCTAGCTGATCCGACGAATCCCACTGGCGGGCCGGACGGCGCTATTTGGGAAAAGAACAATGATTGATCAGAAGTAGGCTCAAGAGTTTAAAAATTCACTTAGGATAATCTAAATAAGGAAACATAAAACTGAAATCTAAGCCAGAATACACTCGTTCAAACGTCATGCTCAACTTACGAGAAGGAACTCTCCTCCTCAGTTCATCTGTTACGTTCAACATTCAACGCGCGCGTCAAGATTAGAAAGGTAAATTAAATTACGAAGTTAACACACTAGCGATCTTTAATTCTAAGCAGCACCGATTTGGGCCTTGTGTTTAGTTACCTTCCTGCGGCAGTTTGATCACGTTGCTTGGGTCCGAAGGTGATCCTTCTCCTACACGATTTACGGCACTCACTCGGAACTGGTACGCCGTAGCGGCTTTCAGGTTTGTCAGCAATACCCACCGAGATCCGGCCGAAACGTTGCTCAACTCCGTTACCCAGTTCAGCAACGGGTCTGGCAATGGGCCTGGAATGTCTGGTATTAACCATCTGCGTGCCCGCGATTTTAAAGTAGTCAAGACTTACCTAACTCAGGAACTTCCCTACGCTGGATGATGAACTTCAACACTGCGCTGTTTCCATCGAACCCGGGAGTCCAGGAAACATTGATCGCCCGATGCGTTGCCGTATTCAACCGAACGACTTGGACATTGGTCGGAGCAAAGGGCAACTCAACAACGCTCAGCCTGGCCGAACGAGTCTCGTTACCACCGGGGGACGTCACAATACAGCTGTATTGACCAACGTCCGACGGACGCACCTCGACAATCTCCAATGTACCGTCGGCTTTCACGGCAACCCTTTGGCTGTTCTTGATCGGCTGCCGTCTAAGAGAAGGAAGCAGTTTATGGTTGGGCAAAGGAGTTATGCTATCTCGTGTAACATACTGTGGTTCCCGGTACCAATCGATGTTGAATGGAACGGTCGGATCGGATGAAACCCGGCACTGCAGTGCGGCAGTATGTCCCAGCAGAACCGTAGTGTCCGCCGGCGGTTGAACGATCTGTGTTCGTACTGCAAGGAGGGAACGGAAGGTAGCGTGTGAAGAAATTATGCGATCGGAATTCCTTAATGTTTCATAGGGCCACAAACACACGCAAAGCCAAACTTACCCATAACACCGAGGTAGGCCTCTTCGGTGACGATTCCGGCTTCGTTGGCACGGATACAGGTGTAAAGACCGGCATCCGATTCTCGCACGTTGGAGATCAACAGATCGCCCGAGTCGAGGATCTGTATTCGACCGGACAGTTCGATACCTTGCGATTCTGATTGTCGACCACGGAATGGGGAACACATAACACGGCGATGGGTGGGGTTTGTTATCGGGAAATAAAACAGGTCATAGTTAGATGAGGGTTTGAAGCGTGAATGCGGTTTGCGGTGCAGGTACTTACCGTTGAAGACCCAGGTGATGTTGGGAGTGGGAGCGCCCACGGCTCGGCAGTGCATGGTGGCATCCTTACCGTCCAGGACGGTTAGATTCGTTGGTGGCATCTCCATGATCGGGAGGGAAGCTATCAGGGAGAATCGTCAGAAAGTGTTAGCGTGCAAAAATGTATTTGTTTTGAGGTTATGTGACACATCGATTTCTATGGCTAATTAGTGCAGTTAGTCTATTGGTGAACTTCCATGCAGTGAATGACGGAAATATGAATCTAAAATAAATATTAGTAAAATGGGTTCGTTTAGGGATGTCCGGTTAGCATTAGTATTAACATTGACAAAGGACCAAGTTGTACAAATTTGTAGGAGGTACGAGTCCTAGATTTTTGTTCGAGTGCTGTATACATCCATTATCGTTACCTCATAGGTAGCAATTTGGGATTAATCACTAGCTCTTAGATGGAAGTGATACAACCTCCAACGATCGACAACTACCCTGGACACGTCCTTGCAACTGGTGGAAGGAAGAATTGGTAGTTCGCCACTTACTTAAGAGCGACGCAGAGAATTCGACGACCTAAGTGTCACCATGGTGACCAACAAATCGCTATTAGCAATTTTCCTGTTATTATTATATTAAGTTGAGAGCCGCCGTAAAGTCCCAGTGGGATCGTAAAAGGCCCAGGAGGAAGAAGAAGAACATTGAAAATTCTCTCGCAACTCTAAGCAGGATTTCGTTGGATGTTTCTCAAACATCTCCTATAGAATAATTTCCTTTCACAGAGTTCTTCTAAAATGAATTTAAGATTCTATCAGGAAATCACTTGACAATTTCTTTCTACAAATTCTCATGAGAACATTTACAAAAAAATCATGTATGTCGTCCATGGATTCTCATCTAATTTTAAAGTTTTTTGTAAGAATTCACTGAAGCTTCTATCCACGTTCATGTTAACTTCACAATTGTCTTAAATTAAACTCAGAATTATTTTGGAGATCTCCTCTAAGTTCTTCTTAAATGCACTTGAAATTTTCCTTAAAATTCTTTAAACCTCTGTTCGAGATGAAATTCTTCGCAAATGAATTCTTCGCAAAATTCCTTTGGAATCGTATCCACAAAATTTGATTCCATCGGTATTTTTCACGGATCCTGGAATCCTTTCAACAATTGCCATGGAATTTTCCACAGAGCTGCTCAAAAAAATTACTCTGAACTCTCACAACTTGGTGTTCTAGTCTAAATTATCTTAGAGTTCTTCCCAAAACTTTCTTCGAAAATTTCTCTGAAATACTTCCCTAGAATTTATTTTTAAATCTCCTCAAAACTGCCTTGTAAAATTTTTTAAAATTCTCTTAATAGTTCTTAAAAGGGTCACCAGTTCTAACCACCAAGACATCACTGAACATTTCACTTGACGTCGTGAAAGTGGGGCTACTCACTGAGTGGGTCAAATTTTCCTCAAAAATCTGCTCGAATATAACAGAAATCGAGAAAAATTTACCCAGCCTACACAGCCGATAAAAGTTATATTTAAATTTTTAGTTAATCTCATTGAAGTGTACTAGTGTATTCATAAACTTTTTTTTTCCTTTATTTGTTTTTCGTCGATCTTGTTTTCCGTGCTGAGCACCAATGCTACCGACGCCAGGGAGGCAGCTCCCACACCTGGACCCTACCTATCGACCCATCAACTCATGAACCGGGGACCAACGGATTTACTTCCCTTGCGAAGGAAGGCGTGATCAGAGATGTTATGCCTCAGAACATCCCAGCGGCGCCGACTGGGATTGAACCCAGGCTTGCTGGGAGCTTACCACAACACCACCGGCGCCGCTACTCATAAACTTAAAAGACGTAATTATATTTTATTCGTTATCTTCTATTGTGAGAGAAATCCTACTCAATTTTGTGTAAGTCTCATCGGCCCTGTACGGCGTCTAATGACAACCGTCACATCCCCAGACGATCTGAGGCAAAACGTACAGGTCGTCTCTCTCTGTTCTCTTGATAGTCATAGCAAGCGAGCACGTGATTGGTTGACAAATGATTAATTGCTATAATATATATATACCAAACAAATCTTACATCAATTCTGAATCAATGGGTTTGGAAAGAATTTAAATCCATCAATAAATGGCCAAGTTATAAGCGTTTAAAATCTAACACTATTTCAATACACAGTTTTTTGAATTGCACCCCAGTATATCCCACAAAGACGTAGTCCTACGTCAAAAGCTTCCACAAATGTGGTTACTGCCTCATGGGAACTTATCGGACCTGATTCTACTTCTATCTGATCGGTAGTAGATGATGCGCGTATTAGGGTTTTGTGATGATCTAAAAAACAGACCCAGCTTTTCGTGATGTGAAACGTAACGGTCTATCAGCAGCCGGAAAGAGTTGGAACCGGTGTGGAACATTGTTAGAGACCGTGTATAGAGGATGATGAGTATGACTTGTGTGAGTTGCAGCATTATTTGAATTAAGGGTACTATTGGGGTCTGATTAACTGTCTCTTACTGTAGAGCCCCCGTTAGAGCCTGCATTTCGGATTTAAATCTATAAGTTAACTGCTGGTATATGCAATTAGAGGATGTTCCTGAAATATACTGTTAAACAACACGTAACGTTGTACACAACTTCAATGACAGTTGCCCAGCAGTGCTCCCATTTTATTTAATGAAAAATCCAATGCCTACGAGATTGTGCCGAAGGTTGCCGGTGCCGAATCTATTTTCGCTGCTTTATTCTCAAAAATCAAATTGACTTCAAGGGTCCTGAACCACAGGCAAATAGACGTAACGCTTTCCCCTCAATTGTCGAACACGCATTTAACGTTCATTTTAAATATTGTTAGTTTCATGAATCTCCCACCACAGCGCTGGCATCGGATCACTTTGACGTTTCAATACATTCTCTCGAACTTGCTTGCAACATTGTTTGAGACATTGGCAAGCTAGTTTTCTTCCAGAAATAGCTCGCGAGATGTCGTTAGTGAGTTATGTGACGATATTTTAAACGAAGATTTATTTAAAGAGCTACGTCTGCTTGTCTGTGTTAGAACCTTTTTCAAGATCCAAAATTACTTCTTTTTTTTTAAGAAAGAACGACGTTTTTTTTCAGATTTTTCATCGAAATTCGCGGGGTTTTCCCGTTTTCTTCCAGGCGACTTGGAATTCTCGGCTATTTCCCGATCTCCCGGATCACTTTACGAGCTTCTGCTCGCTGAACAATCAAATAGTGCGCTGAACCACCGAGCCCGTCTAATTATGTTTATGAATGTCCGGTTGTCCCAAATAATCGATCACTTGTTAATCAATAATTATTTAAATTGATAGTAATTGAATTAATAGACATATTTTAATTTTGACAAGGGGGAGAAAACCGCCACAATCTGTCGAACGATAAATATGTACACCTTACTTAATTATTTTTAAAATCTCGATCATCGGTGGCGGTGACGAAAATCTATGAAAATTCTGACCACGTGTAATATACCCGACTAGAACATACACATCAAGCTGAACATTGCATTAGGTCCTAAGTAACATTGGTCGATTCTCTTCGTCGACTTTCTCTTTCGTTAATAACTTGAGAACATAGCCGTTTCTTGTCGTACTTGTCGTATTAGATGAAAGCATAGATACATAGGAATATCTTTACATGGCCGTGGGGATACAAAGAGCAAGCCGACGAAGAGAATCTGTCAATATTACTTAGGACCTAATGCAATGTTCAGCTTGACATGCCATACCATATTTCTCGCGCAACACGAGAAAAGGGCCTATCATTGTTGATCGGTTCTCTTCATCGATTTTCTCTTTCGTGAATAACCCCACCACAAATGAATTTTCCATTGAGTGTGTTGTTTCAGGCGCAAGCTAACATCATCTTTTGTCGAACTGTGCTGCGGGCTTAGCGAGAAATTCGTTTATGTAGCCGTGTTAAACTGAAGTCGATGAAGAGAATCGATCAACGAGGATAGGCCCTTTTCAAATGTTACGCGAGATTAAAAAAAAACGGAGCTGGATCATTAAAGGTAGTGCTTCCATTTCCCGGCCTTTTATGGTGACCCGGGAATAGGGTAACAGTTAATGGATTTTCTCGGGAATTACATAGGGTAAATTATGGCTTCGGCACCCATTGACTATTTTCGGCAACCGAAATTGAAACGTTAATTTCACTGTATTTTCCCATCAAAACTCTTCGCTGAATGTATTAAGCCGATTCCTTACCTTTTCAGCTTCAATCTGATTACATTTTTACGACTGTGCAATCCTGTTATGCCATATTTTTCTTTAAATTAAACATACACACTACAAAATACGGCTGATTTCGAGTTGCCGATAATAGAACAGCTGGTTAACACGCAGTTCAAATGGAAAGGGTGCCGAAGAAAAAGAGACTGCCGACAATAGTCACACTCACCTGAGAAGTTTGGATCGTTGTAAAAACATGTTCAACCCGTTTTGATCAATTCTGTCGATTGGAATTGGTAGAACAGCAAGCAGCAGATAAATGTCAACAAACAAACCTGTCATGTATGTGTGTGACGCTGAGAAATCGCTTATAGAAGTTCGGACGCTGCTTAGATTGACGAGAATACGTAAATTCCCCTAATATTTGTTTAAATTCTGAGATCAAGGGAATTTAAGGCTATTCTCGTCAATCTAAGCAGCTATCGCACTTCTATTAGCAATTTACCAGAGTCATGCACACATATGACGTGTTTGTTTGTTTGCTGCTTGCTAGTATATCCATTCCAATCGACAGAATTGTCCAAAACAGTTTGAGAAAGTTTATACAACGCTCCAAACTCCTCAGGTAAATGTGACTATTGTCGGCTACCCCCTTTTTCTTCGGCAGCCTATCCATTTGAACTACGTGTTAACCAGCTGTTCTATGATGGGCAACTCGAAATCAGCCGTATTTTGTAGTGCGTGCATTTCTGGATAGAGCTGGAATTAGGGCCTAACAGCTTTTGTAAACAATGACTTCTCTTGATGATTTCTATACATTCTAGGCTCGCCCACGCAAACCAACATCCTCATCGGATAGGGAAAGACTTTCCGTATCCGATGGTTATGTTGCTCTGCGTGGGCGTGCCTTGAATTCCTAGAAATCATCGAT